ATGGCCCCCAGACACCCTTTTAGCTCTGTAATGAAGTCACTCCCAAGGTTCACCGTTCAACCAAGACTAGACAGTCCCTTAAAACAAAATAAGACTAATGGGACACAACAGACCAGGGACAAGGACTAGAAGGCAGGAGGGGACAGGAAAGCTGGTAATAGAGAACCCAAGACCAAGAAGGGAGAGGGTTGACATGTCATGGGATTGTGAACCAATGTCGTAAAACAATACCTGTACTAACTGTTTAATGATAAACTACTTGTTCTGTAAACCTTCATCTAAAATACAAGTTAAAAAAAACAGAATTGAAAAAGTAAGGAGAAAAAATATGACCCTGCCACACATCTATTCCAATTATAAACCATGAAGTACGTCCTTGTTCTGTTCGAATGACTGCCTCTTAATCCATGTACAGGTTTTGCATGAGTACCATTAAGTGTTCTGGAATTCCCATTTTTCATGATGTTATCCATAATTTGTCATGATCCACACAGTCAAATGCCTTTGCATAGTCAACAAAACACAAGTAAATCTCTTTCTGATATTCTCTGCTTTCAGCCAAGATCCATCTGACAACAGTTCTGACTCATAGCAACCCTATGCACCACAGAACGAAACGCTGCCCGGTCCTGCATCATGCTCACAATTGTTGTTATGCTTGAGCCCATTGTTGCAGCCACTGTGTCAATCCACCTTGTTGATGGTTTTCCTCTTTTTTGCTGACCCTGTACTTTACCAAGCATGATGTCCTTCTCCAGGGACTGATCCCTCCTGACAACATGTCCAAAGTATGTAAGACATAGTCTTGCCATCCTTCCTTCTAAGGAGCATTCTGGTTGTACTTCTTCCAAGACAGAGTTGTTCGTTCTTTTGGCAGTCCATGGTATATTCAATATTCTTTGCCAACACCACAATTCAAAGGCATCAACTCTTCTTTGGTCTTCTTATTCACTGTCCAGCTTTCACATGCATATGATGCGCTAGAAAATACCATGGCTTGGGTCAGGCACACCTTAGTCTTCAAGGTGACATCTTTGTTTTTCAACACTTTAAAGAGGTCTGCAGCAGATTTGCCCAGTGCAATGCATCTTTTGATTTCCTGACTGCTGCTTCCATGGGTGTTGATTGTGGATCCAAGTAAAATGAAACCTTTGACAACTTCAATCTTTTCTCCATTTATCATGTTGTTGCTTACTGGTCCAGTTGTGAGGATTTTTGTTTTCTTTATGTTGAGGTGTAATCCATACTGAAGGCTGTGGCCTTTGATCTTCACCAGTAATTGCTTCAAGTCCTCTTCACTTTCAGCAAGCAAGGTTGTGTAATCTGCATATCACAGGTTGTTAATGAGTCTTTCTCCAATCCTGGTGCCCTTTTCTTCTTCATATAGTCCAGCTTCTCAGATTATTTGTTCATCATACAGATTGAATAGGTATGGTGAAAGGATGCAACCCTGACACACACTTTTCCTGACTTTAAACCATGCAGTATCCCCTTACTCTGTCCATACAGCTGCCTCTTGATCTGTGTACAGGTTCCTCATGAGCACAATTAAGTGTTCTGGAATTCTCATTCTTCACAATGTTATCCATAATTTGTTAAGATCTACACAGTGGAATGCCTTTGCATAGTCAATAAAACACAGGTAATCATCTTTCTGGTATTCTCTGCTTTCAGCATGATCCATCTGACATCAGCAATGATATACCTGGGTCCATGTCCTTTTCTGAATCCAGCCTGAATTTCTGGCAGTTCCCTGTCAACATACTGCTGCAGCCGCTTTTGAATGATCTTTAGCAAAATTTTACTTGTGTGCGATATTAATTATATTGTCGATAATTTCCACATTTGGTTAGATCCCCTTTCTTTGGAATAGGCATAAATATGGATCTCTTCCAGTCCATTGGCCAGGTAGCTGTCTTCCAAATTTCTTGGCATAGATGAGTGAGCACTTCCAATGCTACATCTGTTTGTTGAAACATCTCAACTGATATTCTGTCAATTCCTGGAGCCTTGTTTTTCGCCCATGGTTCAGTGCAGCTTGGACTTCTTCCTTCAGTACCATTGGTTCCTGATCATATGCTACCTCTTGAAATGGCTGAACATGAACAACTCTTTTTGGCATAATTACTCTGTGTATTCCTTCCATCTTCTTTTGATGCTTCCTACAGCGTTTAATATTTTCCCCATAGAATCCTTCACTATTGCAGCTCAAGGCTTGAATTTTTTTCTTCAGTTCTTTCAGCTTGAGGAATGCCGAGCATGTTCTTCCCTTTTGGTTTTCTATCTCCAGCTCTTTGCACATGCCATTATAACACTTTACTTTGTCTTCTTAAGCCTCCCTTTGAAATCTTCTGTTCAGCTCTTTTACGTCATCATTTCTTCCTTTTGCTTTAGCTACTCGACGTTCAAGAGCAAGTTTCAGAGTCTCTTCTGACATCTATTTTGGTCTTTTCTTTCTTTCCTGTCTTTTTAATGACATCTTGCTTTTTTCATGTATGATGTCCTTGATGTTATTCTGGAAGCAAATAGCCAGGCCTTTCTCCTACTCTGTCTTAGTCCGGAAGCTCTGCTGAAACCTGTCCACCAGGGGTGACCCTACCGATAATTTGAGATACTACTGGCATAGCTTCCAGCATCATAGCAACACAAAAGTCACCAAAGTACAACAAACTGAAAGACAGATGGTGAATCTTATGGCCTTAAGTAACAACTTTGGGAATGAGGCCAACCTCATGACATAGATTATTCAGCCAAAGACAGGTAAAGAACCATAAAACCAGCAAGATTCTATGCTGAAGAACAAACTCTGCTTAATTCTGACATTCTGAGATTACTAAAGATGAAACTCAGGACTGATAATGTATAAGGCAAAATTTTAGTCAAGGAATTTCTAGCTCTGTCAAGTTTTTATGGTCAAAGTTTGGACCTGACAGACAAAAAGTTGGATCTTGCAATTGACTTAGGAATACCCACAAGGTTTCATATGAGTCTGAATGTCTATAAGTAATTATTTGCCTCTATTATAAAGTAGATGTCATTCTAAAGTGAAAAATATCAACCAAAAAGTGATACTGTTCATCTTATGTATACCACTGACCTCTTCTAATTATTATTTAATCAAAACCTGTACATCATCTTCGACAGAATGGTTGTTATATACTATATGACATTACTATCTATTCGTTTGACCGCATCTGCTCTGTCCTGTACCATCCTGTAACATGACCAAAGCCTCTAGGTCAACCCCAAGAAATACATGTTTTAGTACAAAAAAGGTGAAGTTTCTGGGCTAAATCCTGTCCATCTAAAAAAAAAAAAGAAAACCATTGCTGTTGAGTCAAATCCGATCCATGTAGGCACCTACATTATACTGGATAAGTTGTCAGAATTTCTACAGGATGATCAAAATCATTCAGGAACTCACAGAGTTCACTAGAGATTACCAGCTGATCGTCAGCTTATCCTGTATATTATAATGAATGTCAAGAAGGACCCTTGGTTACAGTATTTCAAGAGGCTGAAGATCTTGTTCATTTTTGTTTTTTACAGTGAACTATCCTAATTTAGACTGTCTAAAAACTGTGTGGGATTTCCTTTTTAAACTATCTATTCATGCCAGAAATGTCAGGATAGCCCACTAGAACACTTTGAGGTATTGTAAGCCACCAGCTGCTACCCTCCAGGCCTATCTACAATAACTTTTATGGCTTGCTACACTTTTATTGCTTACTACACTTAGTCTGCCAAATTCCCACCCTCTACCTGACATGACCTGAAATGGTTTCAGTGACCCAGGACCTTGAAAATTAATAACGCATCAAAATTGTGCTAGATATTCAGTATGCTGTTGTGAATAAACCTATCTGTTGGCATTGGCCCACACATTCTGAGTTTATCTAGATAACTTTCTGACTCCACTTCTTGGCATAGAGACCAGTTAGGAGGCTACGGTAATAATCCAGGAAAGGATGAGAGATTTTAGACAGGATGAGGAGTGTGAGAGCAAGAGTAGATTCAAAGATTATTTCATGATTTTAAGCCTAAGCAATTGGAAAAATGGAGCTGCCATTAACTGAGATCGAGAACACAGAAGAGCAGAAATTGGGAGTAGAAATGGCAAATGAAGAGTACATTTTTGGACATGTTAGTTTTGAGATATCTCTTAAGACATATAAGTGGATCTGTTGAATAGGAAATTGGATATGTGAGTCTGGAGTTCAGGAAGGAGACTGACATTAGGGCAGGAGACATAAAATAATCAAATTATTAAACTGAATTAAAATTATCTTTAAAAATTCTTCATTTGAATTACTTTAAATTTTTCCCATGTTCTTCATTACAACAAATCATTCAGTAGAAAATTATAGGCATGAAATACTATTTTTACTACATTGGACACTGTCAACTGTAAAACTAGAAACACAAATGCAGCTTATTATAAGGCAACCATGAAAGCAGAAAATTCTTTAACCATTAAAATTATGGAAAAAATCAATTTTTATAATAGAACTTACATACCAAATAAAATAGTTTAATTATGCAGTTTAAATATCAAATTACTGGCAGGGCCCTCCTAACAAGCTCTTAATATATTTTCATTTTATATAAAATGGACTACAGTATTTGTGTGTGATTCCTATAAACTGTATTCTCTGTAAGAAGTAGCACTGTTAAATAGTAGCACATTAATTTCATCTGTCACACTTGAAAACCATTATGTCTTCTCATCACAAAGATAATAATGGCATAATGGCTGATCCAATATCTCTAATTAAACATAATTTCTTATCACCTACAATCTACTATTATACTACTTTCCCAGACACTCTATAAACTTTTCTCGTTTCTAATTCCTATTCCTTATAGATTTAATTGCCTATTTAAAATCAGCCCCTCTGGTATTTTAATCTATTTTTGAAGTTACTTTTATTTACCTTGAGTGTTAGAAGATTCTCTACTGTACAGTTTCTATCAAGGGAAACTGACTTTCCAATAATCTCATGAAGAGCCTCCCAATGCCTTGGCTTGAGACAGGGGTTCCCCAGAGCCATGATGATAGGCAGCTCTTGTTTAAAATTTGTCACTGATTGCTTAAAATATGTTACCATATCATTTTTAGGTAAACCTACAAATAACAATAAGTCAGTATGCTTATGATATGGTCATCATTTTTTTTTAACCAGAAAACAAATTGAGAAAATATTGTTCTTTAAAATATGTTATTTAATGTAATAGTTTATCAGTTATTAGTCTGCATTAAAATAATAAGCTTTGGTAACATCATCCCTCTGAAACAATCAACTATGGATTAAATTAAAGAGAAATAGTTATCAGGACTGATGATTAGGACCTAAGACCATCAGAGCCAAGACTCCATGTAAAATTTGATACTAGAGATAGCCAGCTACCACACTATTTCCCCAGTTTTCACTGATAAGATCGATATACAGACACACAGATACACACACACACATGCATATTCAGAAGACTGTCACAGGTTTTAGACTTTTAAATTTTGCTAAGAAGAAAATTAAGAAAAAAAATCTACCATCACTATCATTTCATAAAGAAGATATTTTAACACCAAAATGCAGGAAATACAGGTGAAAACTGTCATAGACCAGGACTTGTCTATCATCTGGAACTGGCAAACCACTGAGGTGTAGGACTCAAAACCTATGCAATTAAACTTATAACTTTTTTAACCCAACTTAGAAAAGGGAAGGGGGCAGAGAAACTTATTTGTACAGATGGGGCTTCTTTTATAAATCCATGTTGAACAGCAAAATGTTTTTCAAGCTCCTGTTTAAACAGAAGGACAAATTAATAGCTTTGGTTTTTGCCAGACTAGACTTTGGCAAACTGCAAGATTTTATTTAGGAAACTATGGATAAAAGAAGGCACTGTCTACTTGCTAGTTTATATATTGTTTTCTGAAACACATCTATGACAAAATATTGACTGCAAATGCACAAAATGATCATTTTGGTAACAGTGAGATTATGGGTGATTTCTCCGGTTTTTCTCTTTTCTGAGCTTTTTGTGATATTGTTATATTTCTTGTGTAATTTAAAAACAAGCAAAATAAAATGTTTTTGTGACCCTTCTGGAGAAGAAAGTATTGTTTGAGGTAGAGCTTAGAGAGAAGGGAGGAGTCAAAAAAATAAAGACATTCTTTGGGCCAGGTGAAACAAAACTTACCTTTTGGAAATAATATGATGTAACAGAATGCTTACACAGGAACAGCATCTCTGCATCAGCAAATGATTTCAAGTTCGATGGTTAGTATAAGAGAAACCTCTCAAAATGATTTTTTAGCAATTTTCCCCATTGCCTAAAGGGTACTATAGGCATACACAGTTAGGATTTGGGTACAGATTCTGCAGCTGGGCCCATACCCTAAGAAGAGCCAGAACTAGGGTGAAGTGTCTGGGGTTCTACCCTAGGGAATCAACTTATAGAGGATTAAAAAATTGTCAGTATTTAAAAACATATTTTACAAATTTTGATCTCTTTCTTGCCTCAGCAAATAACTCCTACTTACACTCCTGTACTGTCTCTCCAGCCCACAAGAGCACATGAAGAAACAAGGCCAAGAACAGCGACTTTGTTGGCCCAGAGCCTATTTTGCATAATCCTAGGTGGGAACACTTGAGAAAGAACTTTTACCTTTTTCTAGTACTAAGATGATTTGCATCCATTTTGAAACATTTCTCTGTACTAATTCTATATCAATACTTTGAAGAGAACTATTTCTCCATTCCCAAAAGAGTTTCTCCCATTCCTCTTGTGCATCCCATAATAATTTTCTCAGAGTTAAGTCACATTCAATTTCAGACATCTCTGAAAGCACAATCTGTGTAATTTCCTCCATATTAACAGAGTGCATATGAGATTGGGAATCATCGAAACGATCCTGGTAAGTTGCATATGTTTTAGCTTTGTTAGATAAACTTGCAGCTTCCTCTGAGAGAGTCCGGATCATTTCCACTGCTGTTGACACTCGAGTACTAGTACATAATAGAACAGGACTTCTTATCTAAAAAATAAAAGTAAAATATTTTAACAGACCAAAATGTTCAAAACTTAAACATGTTTTACTGGCAGTTAAAGCATTTCAGCATACAATCTAAGCTTTAACAAACATTATTTGTAATTGTCATGTGAAAAGATTATCCTTAATTTACACCGTATTTTTACACAAATAATGCATGCATTATATGTTTTTTGCCAACCACACAACTCCCTTGCACATTATTTTCCTATGTGTGCTATGCATGCTATATGTGTGTGTGTTATTTATGCGGGCACGTTATTTGCAAAAAATATGGTAATTTGTGTTAATTATTATTAATTTTAACTATTGCCATAATATCTTTAATTTATTGTGTACCTTTCTATCTCAGGCATGTGGTAGGTGTTTTACACACATTACCTTACTTATTAAGTCCACATAACAATCTTTAAAGATAGATAAAATTATTCACAATTTTACAAGCAGGTTCTGAAGTTATTAATCATTTGCCCACGATCAAATAGGAAGTAGTGTTTCCAAGGTATGACTCTATGGCAGCCTGAATCCAAAACTTATTTTTCTTCCTTTTTCTGACACTGCTGAATTTTGTATTGCTTTTATAAGACCTATTACATGCTGCATTATATTAAAGTTTTACTATTGCCCATCAAATTGTGGACATTTTGAACAATGACTTCTAAACTTTACTATAGTTTTTCCGTGATTTATCCCTTGCTAAATAATAAACTCCTTAAGATTAAGGATAGTCTCACTGATTTTTTTGTTATGGTTGTTTTTGTATGCCTCCTAGAATCTAGGACAGTAAGTTGAACAAAGCAGTTGTTTATTGAATAAAAAGGAATAAAAAGTTGTTGAAAGAATAAATAAATTTGGATCCTACTATTTTATTCTTAAAAAAAAAAAATCCAACCCATGAAATTGCTTGCAACACTATATTATGTGCAGAGTGGTCATTCAATAAACACCAGTAATAATCATAACATGACAAACGTATAAAATTAATAGGCAGTATTTGTGATAAGTGGAGAGGGTTTGATATATAATCTGTAACAGTAATGGCTATATAATGAAGATATAATAAAATTTTCCTTAGACTTCCCCCATAATTTCCCATTCATTTATATTTATTTATGTTTGTAAATCAGCTATCTTGAGAGAGAGGGAAAAATATCTCGAGACATAATCTTACTAGTTCAGATGGAGTCAAAGTAAAGCTTTGTCAATTCTATCAGCAGTCCTTGAATTGAGATCTTCAAAGAATGCTATCAGCTATCAGGTATATAAATTAAATGGAGCTTAAGAGTTATAAAATTGAAGTTAGAAGTAAGGTAAGCACATCACACGCTGTCTTTCCCACTGTGTATAGCTATAAAACCCAGGGAGAATGCATGGAGCAACTAGTTGAGAACTCTGAAAGTAAACAGTAGCAGGCAGACTGGAGAAGAAGATTCGAAGTGCCACCAAATTGGTGGCAAGTTTACCATTTTTTTCTCCAGTATCCTCTGGCCTCAACTCAATGTACCAAGACCTGGGAGTGAGCTTCAAGGCACAAAGAAGTCTAGAAGAACCCTCTAATTCTGACTCGAGGAGCAGGAAAAGTTATTAATGCTCAGAGACAGTGTGGAAGTCCCTGTTCCTCCCTCTCTCTTTTTTTTCCTTTGTTCTCTCACATCCAAGTCCCCAAGCAATCCTATGGTGGTGTTAGCAACTGGTGACAATGGGAGTGTGCAGGGGCCAAAACTCTGAGGGAGAGAAACTTTCTTCCCTGCCCAAGTGAGCTGTGTTTCTAGGAGGGTCAATTCTCATCGAGTTTTTATGTCTGTGTTCTCCTGCTGCTTTGTTCTAGGTATGGGTGCAGCTGTGGAAGTGCATGGCAGAATACAGTAACTAAAATCACAGTTTTCTATCCAGAAGATTGAAAAGAAGAGTGCCAGGAAACTGGAAAATGCTGAGAAGAAGATTGTGGAGAGGGAGGAACTCTGGAAAGTGACCTCATAAAGTTGTTTATGAACTCCCAGGCTCACTCCTGGGCTGCAATTGTGTAGATTTGATCCTACTTAGCATATCAAAGACTTTGAAAACTGAACTTAGAAAGAGACCACTGATGGAGCATACATAGTACAAATCTGAACAGCACTGCAAAGGATTTAAAATTGAAATGACATTGGAACCATAGCCCAAAGACAGTGAGTTGGAACTTGTGACCTGAACCTAGCCAGGACAACGCTGCTAAAACAAAAATATCAACATTCTCCATGAGATTTAAATAAGACACACAAGGGTTATTATGAGTCGTAATGCTTTGATTTTGGGTTTTCTTACAAAATAAGATTTTTATTATAAAAATGCTCCACCAAGCAATTATGAATACTCTTGAAACCAGTGGAAAAATAAACAGTCTCAGTAGAGAAAGACATAAAGAAGAGCCAAATGGAAGTTTTAGAACTGAAAAACACAATAACCAAAATTAAAATTCACTAGACTTGGCTCAATAGAAGAATGTAAATGACAGGGGAAAAAGTCACTGAACTTGAAGTTATATCAATAGAAATTATCCAGTGTGAACAACAGAGAGAGAAAAAAGATTGGAAAAAAAATCTACAGAGCTTTAAGGGCTTGCAAGATAATTACCAAAGGTCTAAAAAAAAAAAAAAAAATCTAACATTTGTAACATTTGTATCATCAGAATCCCAAAAAGAGACGAGAGAGAGTGAAGCGCTGAAAAAATATATGCAGAAATAATGACAAAAAATTTCCCAATTGTCAAACAAAAATCTACAGATTCAAGAAGTACAGCAAACCCAAAACAAGATAAACCCAAAGAACTCCATGCCCAAACACATCAAAATCAAACTGTTGAAAATTCAGGAGAAAGACAAGATCTTGAAAATAGCCAGAGAAAAATGACACATTATTTCAAGAGTAACAACAACTTATAAAGACTGTAGATTTCTCATCAAAAACCATGGAAGCCAGAAGGAAGTGGCACAGTATTTCTAAAGTGCTAAGAGAAGAGAATTTTTAGCTGAGAATCTTATATATCCAGCGAAAATATTCTTCAGGAAT